GAGGTCATTAGGCAGAAGCAGGCAACAGCTGCTCTCTATTCCTAGGAAAATTGTGATAGAAATAAAAGGAAAGTTTGGGGAAAAAAAAAATCCTTCATCCATGTGTCACTGAAACCATGAATAATAATGCAGTCTAATTCTTTCTTTATGATTTAGAAAGCCACAATGCAATTTTTACTAACACTACACAAAGATGTTTATTCTAGTGGCACAACTTGCTAAATCAGAAAGTCTTTCAGATAGGGCAGACTAGCAAAGAGCTGCAGTTAACTGAAAATCATAGGCATTATTTAATTTCAAACAAACAAATATTTTTGGTTTTTTTCCCCCAAATTTTCTTCTAAGTTTAACCTATGCATTGTTAAATATTAATCAACTCAATTATTTTCTTAACTTCATAATTATAGACCTGTGTCTTTTATAGATGATGCATGAGACCCAAAACAGGTTGATCTGGTATTGAATTAAATTAAGATCAACCAGATCAACAAGTTTAAAAAAAAAAATCTAAGCTAAAAATAAGCAAAGAAATTATTTACCCAGTGTATTCACTTAGTCTTCTGAAATAATATTTGTCCTATGATGTCCTTTAGCAAAGCCAGTATGGTATACAGCATGTCTAATGAAACAAGAAAACATCCAGAAAATAAAATCTCCTGGGCAGAGTGAAAAGTTAATGAATGCAAGAGTACTAACTTGGGACTTTTGTTTTCCGTGAAGAAAGATGTACTCACGTGCCAAAGGGCACCTGGAAGGAGCTGATCCAGCAGGTCAAGAGTCTTGTCACTAGAGCTGAGGCACCAGATAACAGCACTTCATCAGGTTGGACCACTAATCCACACAGAAAAATAAAATATTTGAATCCAAGCACAGATATCCTTCCAATACGCCTGAGCAGTCCAACTAAGAAACAAGCAGGAGCGTAGAATCACGTTGCACGTTCCATTCTGTAATCCACGGTGACCAAAAAGAATAATAAAAAAACCACAAGTCTTTTTTTTATAAGCCAGAGCTCCTCTTATTTCTTCATTTTAAAGTAACATCTTGTATAAACATGCCTTTTGTGATAGATTGAGACAGGTATAATGTTAATGTTTACACAGAATGGCTGTGCTTCCTTAAAACCCTATTCAAAGCAGGTATAGGACAAATTCTTTTAGTACACAGCTTTCAAGCTGTTTTATCTATGAAGGATGAGAGCTCTCTAAGTCTGCCTGAAAAGATTGCACAATTCCAGCTGCCTGCAAGTTCGTGGTTACGTACATTTTTACGTGGCAAAAGCACTTTGGCAACAGGATTGTTTTGCAGAGATGTTGTTCCTTATTGGAAAAACAGAGAGGCTGAGAACCATGTTCCTTAATCAGGGCCTCTGCCATCTCAAAGTCTTTTTTCTTCTGCCAGGGCAATGTTAACAAACCATAGCCTAAAATCCAGAATGCATATTTTCAAGACTGCATAATTACTTCCACTCTGAAATTAGAACTTGAGTTTGTCCTGTTTCTGATTTGGGGCACCAAACTGGTTTTCTGATTGTGTGTCATACTGAGGGACTCTGCTATCAGAGCACCTTTATATTGTCCATTTATGCCACTCCTCAAGCCTCAGTTCTTTGTTTCAAGCCTGTAGAAGCTGCATGCTGGAACATGAAAAAGAGTCTTTTCTTCATTAATGCCTCCCGTATTTCTATTGGTCTGACCCTCATGGTTACACACGACTGGATATTTGCCATAGATTTACAGGAACAGCACATAAATCAACATTGAGCAATCATAAAGCATGCACTGGGCATGAAAAGGATTTTTCTTGAACATTTATACTGTAAACACAAAATCTAGTCCCTTTGCCAAGGAAGATTACATTTAATCTTGCATTTTAAGTGAGAAGGATGGATAATGTGAAGAAGTTAATGTGCCTCTGTAACAAGTTTTTCTTACTCATTTTTACAGTATTTCAGGATTTGATAAGAATGTTTGCAGTGAGGCTTCTCCTGTACTAACTTACTGTTCACAGTAATTTTTTTTTGTTTCTCTTGTTACATATAAACATGCAATTCCTTTTTGAACAGCAAAATAAGGCACGCTTGCCTGAATAAACCTGTGGCATTTTCTGGTTTCTTGCCCACACTTCCATTACAGAAAGGCTTTTCATACTGCACACTGGAAACAAGACTAGTTCAATTATTTCCAGAGCCCTCTTCATTCATACCATTGCTCAGCTGCAGCAAACAGCTCTAGTTCAATTATTTCCAGAGCCCTCTTCATTCATACCATTGCTCAGCTGCAGCAAACAGCTCAGTGGTGCCCCTGCCAAGTCCTTTGCTTCCTCCTTAACTCTGCCCTCTGTGCGTCAGCCAGCACAGGCCCCTACTGTCCTCATCCACAACACATGCACTTACACTGAACCCTGGTTGAAAACACACTGCCAAACACCCTTTTACCATTAGCTGCAAGACTCTGAATGACAAAGGCTACCATCTGTGTCATCTTGGTAAAATCAGATCTTTACTTACCTCGCCGTGAAGTTGGTGAAGGAGGTTGAACCATGAAGGTGTTGGCTCACAGACCTCAGTGAGCTATTATGACTCAGAGAAAAGCTTTTTCTGTCAGTTTGAAACATCAGTAGCATTTCCCCTTGGAATGAAAAAGAAGGAAAATCTGTTAGGAATTGCAATGAAGAAATGAGGACTGTACAGAATACTGTTAAAACAACCATAAAACAACAGAAGTGTCAGACTGCTCATATTGACTCTCATGTCTGTCACCTCCACACACCCTTCACTCTGTGTGGCCGAGCATACAACCTTCACCTCTGTTCCCTCATGATGACCCCAAATCACTCTCCTAAATGCCCTTGCTGGTATCTCTGTAGCCCCAGCTGTGGCTGCCTCTTTCCCTCTTTCACTTAAGGATACCTGTGTGTGCCTAACACATTGGAGAGGACAGGGTGATGCTGCCCAGAGTGGTACTGTCTGATGCCCTAGAAACATTCCAGGTCATTCTGGACAGGGCTCTGAGCAATCTGATCTAGTTGAAGATGTCCCTGACCATGGCAGAAGGGCTGGACTAGCTGAGCCTTAGTGGTCCCTTCTAACCTGAACTATTCTATGATTGTAGTCCATCATGGAGGGAGGCTCAGGGTCCAAGGAAAGAGGGAGATTGGCCCAAGTTTTTATACTGAATGGTCTCAGGGTTTCCTTGGAGGGCTGGTCTTTGGCTGGAATGCTCATGGCCTTACAGACGGGCATTTTCAGAGCTGGGGAAAGAAAATTACTTTTTCTGCAACTGTGCCACCTCAGGGTGATAGCACACGTAGAGGAGCAGCCCACATTGATCGCAGCAGTGTGACAGCACCATTCCTGAATGTGACTCCATAGGGCCACATTTATCACTGCAATTAAGTGAAACCAAGCAAGTTCTGTACAGACAGGCAGGAGTCAGCAGGGAGCCTTTGAAAGCTGCAGGATGCCCTTTACCCTCACATAGCTGTCTGACAGTGGGTCCTCAAGAAAGTTCCTAATACCTGATGAATTTTGGACACACATCGAAGAAATGTTACTTCGCTACCTTGCAAGACACAAATCTTATTTTAAGCACCAATAATAATGAACAACTGTCTCTTAAAATGTGATGTGCAGTGAAACACACAGTTCTGGCACCACCTTTCCTCAGTTCTCTCCCCTGCTAGACATCATTAGGTCTGCTCCAGGAAAAGCACAAGCATTCATTGCACCATAGCCCTGGTTTCAGCTATCTAACTTTAGTTTTACAGACTCCAGCAAGCAGGATAAAAGGCAAATATCCAGTTTATGTCCAAAACATACTTTATTAGAAACAATTTTAAACCCCTCCTATCCAATAAACTATACATTGAAGCACATCTCCATAGGTTTTGAAACAGCCATCACTTAGGAGTTTTCATTTATCTGCTCTTTTCTATATGGTAATTTAGGTAAACTTCACTGTTCTTGTATGCAGAGTTTGGATTTCCTCAAATTTTAGACAGCCTGAGCAGAAATAGAAATTATTTATTAGTGCTTTCAAAAATAATCTGCCTGTGCTGTGTTCTGACAAATTAAAGCAAGTAATTTTTTAACTAGTTTTGAGGTCATCTAGATAAAGTCACTAAGGTCTTGTGAAACGAACTGAAAAAAAATTCCACGTACCTTTTCCTCTCTGGTGGCCCCATCTGTGCCTCAATATGCTACCATCCTTCAGACAAAAAAAAGGACAGCAGAGATGTGATCTGGAGAAGGTCAAGGCAGGTCATAGCAGAAGAGACCCCTGCACATTACTTCCAGTGTGGCCAGGCAGGGCATGATTGATCTGTGCACAGACCCAGCTACTGTTCGTTATGTAAATACCAAAAATAAAATTGAGATAAAAGTTAAAAGATCTAGCAACATGACATGAGAAGTATTTATGGCAGATGACAAAGGTAAGGGGTGGTAAGATGGCAGGTGACAAAGGCAAGGCAGATGACCAAGGAAATGTTCAAGAGGTATTAACTGAGGATGCCCCTACATAAATTCTTTCTGGATCTCACCCTACTATGATTTCAAGATTAGCTGAAGTGGTTATAACCACACAATGTAAAATGCTATAGTTGCAGCCTTTCTACTATATCACCTCTGAACTGAACAAAGATGACAAGCACAGTGTCCTCCTTGCTCTTGGGCTCCTCTTTGGACTAATATTTTTCTTATACAGTGGTCTGAGCCACTTGCTCTGGCAACAAAATGGGAAAAAAACCAAAACCAAAACAATAAAAAAATCCTGTAAAAACACAATGTAAACTTCCTCCCACCTACCACTCGTCTCCTGTATGCACACCAGCATGGCTTAAGGAAGAAAGTTTATTATTCACACAGCAGAACAGCCCTAGGAAAGAACACCTAGATTTTTCTAGGTGCAGATGGCAGGAGAAAAACCAACATGCCAAGTTAAGATGGGATGTCTCAATCCTGTGAGATAAAAGGAAAGGATGTGTATAAACAGCAAATATGTAAAATGGTAAAACTTTAATGTTTTTCTTTGCCATGTATAAACAAAATACTTTTACAAAATGAGTCAACAACTGTCAAGTGTTTGGCTTTATGATTGCACTCCAACTTATTATTTGGTCACTGACCAAATGCAGGCTAGAACTCAGGGCCATTTCTGAGACTCTAGAAAGGCACAGTAAAGACAAAGCTGCACATGTATAAAATACTATATAGAATCAAGAATCATGTAAGAAATATTCACATGGTTTCAAAAAGAAAGAATAAATTTAAAGATGCAGTCTTTGAGAATTAGATACAATATCTGGATAAGGTTGAAGTCCTAGCTGTTTGTTATCTTTCAACTTCTGTACTATAACTCTGGCAAATTCCTCTCCTTGGCTGTCTGAAGTATCAAGAAGTTGTCGTACTTTTGATGTCCTTGTAGGTTTAGTGCTTATAAGTTCATAATCTTCTTTCATGAGCAAAAATCTTGATAGAAGAGCATCCAGTGATTGATTCAAACATGCTTCAGTCATCTGATCAATAATTTCTTCTCTTTTACTTTGGATCCACTGATGTGCTACATTCTGTTGTATGGTTTCCAATACAAAATCTGAGATTGGAAAGGATTAGAAAAAAGGGATTGTAACTGTCTGACAACAAATATTGCCACAGAACAAAGAACAAGCTGAAAAAAAGCTGTTAAAATGATCCAATTGACAAATATGGTGGTCAGAGTATTTATTCTATCTGAATCACAGAATAATTTAGTTTGGAAGGGACCCTCAAGGAGGTCATCTGATGTAATGGCCTGCTCAAAGCTGGGCCAACTTCAAGGATAATTCAGGTTGCTCAGGGCCTTGTCCAGCTGAATTTTGAGCATCTCCAAGTGATGGTACTTCTGCAGCCTCCATGGGCAACCTGTTCCAGTGTTCAACCCGACCTGGTACTAAAAAGAGACAGGTGGTAAATTCACTTTCCAGGGGGATTTTTATTGAAAATTACTGAAAACATCCCTGTAGTTTCCTGGTATTTTTCTCAAGATGAGGTTTCACACAGTGAGAAGATGTTCATTCTCATATTTCCAGAAGAGGGGAGATGCAACAGATCTTTATAAAGTTGCATGTTATTGTGTGGCCCCTAAAAAAATAATTCTGAATAATTCATCATTAAAGTTTATTTTTGTTAACTTTTGTGTTCACTTTTAACAGCTATTTGATGCATAAGAATATAATGTAGTGGGCTCTCAACTAACACAGAGGATCATTACAGGTGAGATGCTGACACAGCTGCTGCTTCTCTCAGCCCCACCATTACTAAATGGAAGACTGGAAAGCCTAAAAAGTAAGAAGTGACATGCAACAAGGTGACTAAGTTTGAGCTAAGTTTTTCTCCTGTTTTGCTGGTCTGTAGCACTTCTACAGCAGTACGAGATAGGAAAAATAATATGAGCAAAGGGAATGGGATAAAGAAGACTTATGGCACCAGGAATCTGATTAAGAGGAGAGAAAAAAAGCTAGTAGCTACAGGTACCTGTACTTGGTCACATTTTTGCTTACCTTGTAAGTTTACAAGGACAGAATTACTTAGTTTTGCACTTTTAATTTGCAGATATTTTGTTTTCATTTTGCAGGTGAATAGCAGTTCCAGTTCCCATTTCGTATTAGACATATGCTCAATGTTAGAACACTTATTGTGGGTCTTGGTACCAAATGGTGTTTGCTGTACCTGAAGGAATTGGTGATGATGTCAGCACAGAGGATGCAGAACTTGAGGCATCTGAAATATTCTTGTCAGATGAGAGAACAGTACTGTTTGGATGCACAAGGGGTCTGGCACTCTGAGTTACAGACAGATTTCCATCCATGCTCTGGCTGCTGAGAGAGTGTAGACACCCAGAATCTCCATCTTAGACAACAAGAAAAAAGAGAAGGAAAAGAACAAGCTATATTACTTCTGTGTTCAAATAAAATACACCCATCAGAGATTATTTAGAGCAATTTCACAAAAGAAGCCATAAACCAACTACTTTTACATGATATACAACAAATTAGTCCTTATACTCAAATTCTGAGTACATTTATGTCCCTTTTATATTTTACCAGGGCTTGGCTACGGTTTGGGGTCCTGCTTTATTTTAAAGAAATATTGGGAGTATAAGAAAAGTAACGAAAAAGCTCTGCTTGAGAGAAAATTTTTGTAGGGACAAAAAGAACAAAATAAATCCTTTGAATATTTGGAGAGATAACTGAAAGTCAGCAGGAAAGCAAACCAATTTATTTTGATGAAGTATGGCACTGTAACAAAGGTGAAAAATATTAAAATGAAGATTCAGGTGGGGGAAAAGTAAGAACAGTGGGAGAAGTTAACATTCAATGGGAGGCATATGGAAGCTTTTTGTAGTCCATCAAAATAGAATATAACCTCATGAAAGCTTCACATAAACTTTTGCAAACAAAAGTATAAGGATTTCTATCAGGTGGGAAGTTTAACAGTTTCTAGTTTTAGGATTTTTTTTATAGTAGAAAAGGATGACAGATATGAAAGCAGCAGTAGGAATGACACAAGAAAGAGATGACAAACAGCTGATAAGAAATGAACTACAGGACATGTGCCTAACTCTGCAAATAACTTTGATTAGACTTTCATAGTGTCACTTGATAAAGACACAATAGCTAAGATGTTAACTAAGAATCAGAGATGCAAGAATTCAGATGAGCATCTAAAGACACAATGAGGTAGCCCCATGGACAGTTTGAGATTACCTGTCCAATGGGGAAATCTGAAGGTGTATTCCCAGCTCTTTCTTGACCTGTAGAAGAATATGTCTGTAAGTACACAGAGCAGGAATAGGAAAATGTGGAAGAAACTCCATTCTGAGTATTTTAAAATGGTGGACTAGAACTCATAGTAACTAGTATTTTATTTCATGAACAAGAGAGAAAGCTGGGCAGAGCTATGTACTGTGAAGCAGCAGATATTATCTACTGCATGAAAAGGGGATTAGGAGACAACCACTGTGAGTAAAAGATCATTTCAGGAAAGTATTTCAAACAGCTGTGCTGGGATAGATTGTTATACATTTTTGGGCACATATATTTAGTTTCATAACATAAAGACAAAACTACTGGGATTGTACTGGTATGAGAGAATGACCTTGACCAGTGACCACAGCATAAAAAAATACAATCATAAAATCACACAATCGTTTCCATTGGAAAGACCCTTCCTTCAGATCATTGGGTCCAGCACTGCCAGGCCCACCACTGCCCCATACCCTGAAGGGTCACGTCCACACGTCTTTTAAATACCTCCAGGGCTGGTGACTCAACCACTTCCCTGGGCAGCCTGTTCCAATGCTTGACAACTCTTTCCATGGAGAAATTTTTCCTAATGTCCAATCTAAACCTCCCCTGGCACAACTCAGGGCCATTTCCTCTCATCCTACTGCTTGTTGCTATTGCTTGGCAGTTAAGAGGCCCCCATCAGGCCACAATCTTCTCTCAGATAGTTGCAGAGAGGAAAGGAGCAAAATTTCCTCTCTGAGCCTCCTTTTCTCCAGGCTAAACGAAACAACTCCAGTTCCCTCAAAAAAAAAACCCACAAAAAAGCTAATGAGAGTTTTTCAGATGTTATTCAGAAAAAAACAGATTGACTCAAGTTACTCAAAAAGAACTTAGGTGACCTAGAAGACAGGAGTAACAGAAATAGAAAAAAGATGGAAAAATATGAAATCTAGACTTTCTGTTTCAAGCTGGGGCTAACGATTAGAAGTGAGATGAGGAATAAAAACAATCCCTCAGTAGGTAATACTGCAAGGAAGGACCTTGTGAGAAAGGAAAAATAAAATTCTAAGGTATACTAAGTAAGGGGAATTTCGTAGACAAAAAAAGTTTCTCATGTCTCTCATAATACTATGTAGCTCAATGACTTGTACTATGTATACATACATATATAGACACATAATACTATGTAGTTCAATGACTTAAGTTAGAACATGCACCAGGAGGACTTGTTAGGATACTAAGAATAAAGAAGTTTATTTTACAAAGGGATTTCAAAAGAGTGAATCCTGCTCATCTAGCAAAACAAAGTATATTAAAGGATTACTCTCTGTATCAGAAATTAAATGGGAAGAGGGAAAAGAGCTGTTTAAAGAAATACCCACAAAAAGCTCGCTAGTGTAGGGAAAAAAATAAGATGAAAAGAAAGGCTAAAGGCTAGAAGACAAGCCTTAACTCTGAAGAAGCAATTTTCTGAAAAAGTATTCTGATTGTACTGATGGAAAAAACAATAATCTGTAGTCATTAACTCAGCTAGACTCTGTAGTCATTAATTTCTGCCTTTGGCCATGCCAAACTCCTCTCTTGCTAACAGCTTCCTGGAATAGAATCTTCACCTGAAACAATTGCATCTGAGTTTGAAAAGCAAGAGAAATGTCAGTTTTGCTTTCCACTGCAACACTACCTGATGCAGCTATTGGCAAAGTAATAACAAACACTTCTGCAGTAGGGTTTTATAGGCACTATTTTCACAAGTTTTACAGTATCTATACATAAACACAGTAAAATCTAAGCAATGACTCTATAAAATAACCACTAGCTGACCAATCAGATTAATTGTACCAATAAATTTTCATTGATGCCCTCCATAGGCAGATACAACAATTTATAACAAAAACCAGCAGCAAGAAAGGCTGATATTTATCATTATCTTATGTTTATCATAATGATATTTATCATTATCTTATGATTACACTTACAGTAGTCCATGCTCATGTTCAAACTAATACTCCATGTTCTAAAATTCATCACAACATACTTATTAAGCTAGGTAAGTATGAGTTATCTTCATCACTGAGGTTTTTTTGCTGTACAGATAAATGCTTCAGTTGAGATACAGCCAAAGTACCCTGTACTTGCTTTCTGCCATTTTCTCCAGTAACTGAAAGTGCTTATGCCTCCCATAATTTATTTACCCAAATTCTTTCTGTATTTATACCTTTCTAGTACACTGAGTAGAAGTTCAAAATTGTGTATGTGTTCAAACAGGAGCTGAAAAAGGAACTGCCTGTGCTCTCCTACTTCTTTTTTAAGAGTATCTCTGGTTTTGCAGCACCTCAGAATACTTTTTGATGCCTTTATATTATAGCAGTGAATTCAATAGCCTTGTCTGCTTTCATACTACTGGTCCCTAAAATGCCAGAGGACACTCTAATCTTTTGAAATATGTTTACATTGTGTCAAGAGAAGAAACTTAAATGCAGTTTTAGTTTCAGAATGTACTGCTACTCCACCTGGGCTCCATTGTATTTTTCTGGCTTCTGATGTCAGCAAAACCTCAAAATTGAGTTTTCTCAGAGAATTTTGCCAACTTTTATTCATAAAAGGGGACAGCTACAAAAGGTCTGTCCAGGTATGTTGGAATTTGAAATAAAAGCCTCTCTGAGTCCCTCAGAGAAAAGAACTAAAATATATTAAATCACATAAAGAGTATAAGTAAGTAGAAATATATCTGAAGTGCTTTAAGAAACTGTGTTAGCTAATGAAAAACCTTAAAGTCTAGTTTAAAGTTCAGTAGTGTTACTTTTTACAGACTTAATCTAGTTCTAGACATAATGAAAACATAGTAAGAACACAGCTTCCATTTCTAGATAGAACAGATAACACTATATACTTTTGCAAAGCAATCTATTAAAGACATTTTTACCTATTGAATTAAAAATTATATAGAAACTTGCACTGGAAACTTTGAATAGGAAAACTGAACCTGTGAGCTGTGGAGATTTCTCAGGTGATAGGAACAGAAAATCAGAGCTTAAAAAAATGTGTTTTTTTTACCCAGACCACAAAGTTTACAGAAGACATTTTTTTCTGACATAGAGGACCCAACTTTTTACTACACAAATACAATGTCACAATGTGAATGTAAAGCTGCAATGGCAAATTAAATTTACACAAATCATCTCACCTGATGAGAGGATATTACACTGGGGAATAGACTTGAATTTTGATGTATCTGGAGAGATGCTCCGAAGAGGAAGTGCATCACACTGTATGGAGCTATAGTACGTTGGCTGAAAGAAATCCAGGTGGATTGGAACAGGAACATTAAGCAAATATGAAGTTGCAATTTTTTTACAGAAAACCTTCCCATCACCTATGTTTTCCCTGCTATCTAAATGCTCAATAGACAGCACAATGAAAATACGATAAATCAGAAGAAATTATGTAATCCCAATACTTACGTATTTTCAAAGATGACAGCAATTTTGTGTACAAGTTTAACTACTAGTAAGAACCAAAAGCAGCAGCAGCATTAAGAATCAAAATATAAATGCAAATCTATATGACCCTATACAAGCAAACTCTGCAGAGGTATAAGGGAGCAGTAGACAATCTCTTACTACTGGCAGGCATTTTGTGCTGCATTCCTTCTTGAGGGGATCACAGACTTACAGAATATGTGGAGAGGGAAGAGGCCCACAAGGATCCTAAGTCCAACTGCTGGCCCTGCACAAGACCACCCCAAGAACCATTTGCCTGAGAGCATCGTGTAAACACGTGTAGAAACTGGGCTTGGTGCTGTGACCAATTCCCTGAGGAGCCTGCTCCAGTGCCTGGTTGCCCTCTGGGTGAAGAACCTTTTCCTGATATCCAACCTAAACCTCCCCTGGACAGCTTCATGACATATTTAGAGCTTTCCCATATTTAGATGCCCTTCTGATTTCTGCATATTCACCCTTTACTATCTTCACATATATGACTTTGCATTTGTCTGGCTCAAGTAATGCATTTTATGCCTTTCCTGACTGCACAGGAAAGTAAAGTACAGAACTCCTCATACCAAGCTAAACTTCCTTTAATCTCACAGGATGCTGACATACCAAATGCAACACATAAAGTATTTACCTTTTCAGGATTCAGAGGTATATTTAGAGATATCTGTTCCACATTTGCTTTCTTTCCACTCTTGTAAATACTTTGTGATTCATATAGTGACTGGAAGAGAAATATTTACCTGTATTAAATTTCTGCTGTAAGATTACAGCCTCGCACAAACACTGGTTTCAAACAGATACAAGATTAGACAAAGGAAACTGAGGAGAAATGACAAAGGAGATTACACTTCTTTTAGCAAGTGAAAACTAGCAACTTATTTGACTAACTCATGACTGTAACAAAAGCTACTTACCTTCGATCTCTTCAACAGAATTACTGCTTCCAGCATAGCTATTTCATCAAATGTTCGCAGAACTGGCTCCAGGTCTATTAAACATTCTAAACAAGGGAAGAGTACCTGGTGAATGGCTTGAAGTGGAAATCAAGTTGTCACTGTACTAAAGTGTCTTCCTCATATTTACAAAAATAATTTGTCTGACACTATCAAACCACTTACACTGCTAAAACAGAAGCTGCTTGCTTCTGTTAGAACAGTTCACACCACCAACAGAAATCCTGCCCTGACCTGGCCACCTCATCACTGCATACCAAAAGAGATCCAGGACAGTGCTGGACCACAAGTCTCATGTTCATGGAATGGAGAGACTGGTGAGTTTGCTGTGTTTTAAGGTAGCCCCATCAGCTACCTGATCAGCTGAATGGAAACAAATACCATCTCAGAGTGTGTTGCTGTCTTCCCACTCCAGAAGAGGTGTTAAAGATTTATACCAGAAAAATAAACACACTCCCAACACAGCAATATCCAGAATACATGCTTAAGGCATGAGGCAGGGCCAGATTACATGGGATAGTCAGAGCACTGACCTATCACATCCAGTGAAACCAAATGACACTGGCCTCAGTGTGTCTGCATCCCTATGCTATGGTAATTGCTTAAATTTCCCAGCAGTGAGCTGTACTTCCCCTAATTTTGCAACAGTTTTGCAACTTCTTCTTTCTTTTTATGATAGTTAAGTAGTGGCAAAAGCAATACATGTTTTTTTTCAAAGACCATCTTACTACACACATGGCACTAAAAAGAGAATCTAAGTTAGCTCACACTGTAGTACATATCCCAGATAATTTTCCCTTCAGTGTGACCACACACTTAAATTGCTACCTTTTTTTTTGCTAGTTGGCACAGGAAAACAAAAGTGCATATGGAAATATCATGTATCTATTCTTTTTTGATTTTGGAAAACACTGTATTTAGACACATTCCCTTGACTGGAAAAGAATTCCAGTTCTTGCTTGATAAAGGAGATGGAACAGTAAAACAAAGTGTCAGTGAGAGATTTACACTGAGATGCAAATACAAATTGAAATCACTACAGCTTGTGTGCAATGGTCCTTTGGTGTTGATTGGGTGCTCGTAAATCCCACAGTACTCATTTTATACTTCACTTCTCCCACCCCCCCTTAAAAACCCCAGATTAATTTCAACAATAAAAAAAACCTCCAAACACAAGTAATTAAACAAAACATGCTGCTTTTTTACAGGTAAATTAAGAGACGGTAGATGCACAAGACTCCAACAACCAACCTGGTTTTGCAGCACACACATAATTCCTTTCATAAAAGTTTGTTTACAGACATGAAGAAAGCAGCCAAGCACCTTATTATAAGCAACAAGACTGAGCACATGATAAGCCCTCGATGAGGAATGTCCATTGGTAGACTTCCTTCACTCAAGTCTAGTCGCTGTCCCTGTGACACGCTGTACATTATCTGCAAGGGGTTTATAACTTCTGTCAAAACAGACATTGTGAAGTCATTAGAAATATATGCAATATAAAGAGCTTACTATATAGGAGGAGTAATTCTGCTTGCAGACATAGAATTTATAGCTCATCAAAATAATGTTATATTTCTTTTTTAATTAATGAAAAAGTATTTTTAATTTATGAAACAAAACTGATTAAAAAAGAAAAAGATACTAAAAAAATAATCTAATTCAAAAAGTATTTCAAAGTGTTCTTCAACAAGTTTAAAAGTTATTAGAAAGTAACCCCTAAAATTAAGTCTCCAGGTTTCACATTTAACCTCTAGGTAAAGCAGGAAAAATAAATTAAAGGAAGACATGGACTTACCTTCAAATGGCTGTTTCCTTGACATTACTTCCCACATGATAACTGCATAACTGTTTACAGTATAAAAAGTAGAGATGTTATTTTAGACTACCAACACTTAACAACACAATATGTTCAGTTTTACATTTTATTTAAAACATTTTGGTAAAATGGTCCTGTAAGCACACATGGGACTGACTATAGCTAACTAAAATGATGACATGAACATATGAAATCTATTATATGAATGATCTAGAACTAGTTAATACTATTAAGTACAGACAAAATCCATGGCATATAAACTCCTATTCCAAATCTGTATCCACTTGTCTGTGCTAACACATTGTGAATTACATACATGGAGCTTAAATCTCAGCAAACAAATTAAAGTGAGCCCCAGAGAGCCAACTGCTCTGTCCTAACTGCAATACTCTGGAATATTCCCAGTATGGACTGACACTCCCTGACATTCCAAAGGGAAGCTGAGTATTAGCAGGGAGGATGGCTCTGACACAGAGCTCTATCCCAACACAGTGTGACACAGAGAGGTAAGATACAAACTTGCACTCGGGATGCCCACTCCAGCTTCCTCCCTCCCCATATTATGCTTTCAACATTTGCAATCTTTTCCATAGGGAGAGATGTCACTTACACACAGCATTCACTTTCCAAAACAGACTCTTGGGAAGACTACTCTGACCTAATGCCAGGAGACTGAACACAGATGTGCTTACTCAAACCAGTGACCTTCTTTTCCATTCACAACAACATGAATGGCAAGCAGTTCAGCGAGTACAAACTTGCCCCATGTCTAGTAAACTAGTCACTCTCCTTAGCCACCAGGATATACTAGAAAGAGCTAATTTTAAACAACTTTGTAATTTAAATAAGGTTAGCTGATTTAATTTAAAAGCAGCATTGAATTCTCGGTCCTCTCCAATTTTTCCTCACATACTCTACAGTATCTGAATGAAGTTCTATTACATGATTTATCCTAAAAGGTCCTAATATTAATCCCACCACTGTATTCAAGTATCTGGTTCCACTACTCAGACTTTTCTGAGTAAAAAGAGGCTAAAGCTTCAATGCTGCCATAACTTCAGAATACATGCAAGGTGCTGACAAGCGTGTATTTCCATGTTTTCAGTCCAAGTCTTTATTAAGCATTGTGACAGTGTCATTCCAGAAAATAATCACTCTGATAAATTGTTGTTAAGGCTTTTTCCCCACCTTTGGTATGAATGTACTGAGCTTCCTTCCTGCATCACTAAGAAGTACCCAGCTTTACATATAGGTTACATTTAACTGCCTTAGAGCACTGTACCATCTGACAGCTACCAAGTAAGAATTAGGAAAAACAAAGTAAAAAACAAATAATTGATGCTTAAAATCAAATTATATAAATTGAGTTCACCTAACTATTTATTCTGTTTGTATTTTAACATTCTTCAATGATAAAATTTACTTATGCAGCTTTTAATAAAAGCAGTCCTCCCTGTTATAAAGTCTGCTTTTCATGTATTCCTGACAGATCCATGCAGGCTGATTTATTTTGTAAAGCAAATAATCCCTTTTGTAGAAATTAAACTGCTTGACTGTTGTTTAAACAATTTGTTTCTTTAAGAAAGATACTTCCTCACAAATTAGCTTCAGTATCTCAACAACATTCAGCTGTGATCAATTAATTAGACATCCAGAAAAATATCCAAATATTTAGTAATATCTTTCATTCAGTTTGGAATCTCTCTACAGTTAAAGATTATTTTCTCAGTTCTACATCACTGCAGCATTCCCCTATACACTATTCCTGTTTTCCTTTCTTATTTCTGCTCTGTAGCATCTCCATCTGATTGTGAGCACAGAATCTCCTGTGTGGCATTTCTGGTGATCCTTTACTGTCTCTGAACCTTCATGTCTTCCTGCCTTGAACATCTCTCTTTCCAATGTTGTCTCAGTTTCTCTTCTTTCTTCTCACATAACCTCTTTCCTTCCTAAATTACCTGTTTTCTACACTCATCTACTGATGTCTTCTCATATTTTCTCCTATTTGGTTGTTATTCGTCTGAAAATATTATTTTCTTTCTAAGAAACATTTGTCTTCTTCATCTCCACCCATTCATATAGCTGCCAGTCCCCCTTTTTTTCCCCTTAATACACCTTGCTGTCTTTTCAGTGTTTTCCTTATCCATATCGTCTCATCAAAGGGTAAGGAAAGCAGGTATGTTGTCATCTGTATTCTTTGGACAGGAATTCCAAGGAACTTTCTGTGCTTCTAAGGGTAAGGGAAATAGTGATTTCCCTGGAAGTCAGTAGGACCCTCTGAGACTGAGTCATCTATCACTAAGATACAACCACCATGTCAGAGATCAGTGAAGGTAAAGGTGGCAGACTGCACCAGAATGATGGACTTTGTAACAGTGACTAGCCAGTTCATGCCTTCTCAATCTTCCTTTACACTATGACAATTCCTCCCAAAATCTTTCAAGTAATCTCTGAGCTCTCCAAACCATTTCAGACCAGCTAATTGTAACTCAGTTATAATCTCAGAGAGATTTCCTTTCGCTATATGGGCCACCATCACTCTATTAACTATTCTACTACTTGTACTCAGGACTGCCCAACACAAAACTACCACAACTTTCATAAGGTAAATTATTCCTTAAGGAGATAATTGTAACTACTTTCTCTAAACCCACTATCCTGTTTTTATCTGCCTCCTTTCCAAAAATACATTTTCTTCTTTCCCCAAGTACATTCTACATGATTACATGAATGGCTTTCTTCTTGACCTGAATTGTCTGTATGTGTATGCTCATCTACAGAAACCAGACCCCTACCTATTTCTGTAGTCTCAGTTTAATTTTGGAGCATTACACTTGTCACAGCACAAAACAAATGAGTCATTAAATCCAGCTATCACTCAATTATTTATTTCCCAATTTAGCCAATATAGCTATGATATTATCATTGAAAATAATAAAATTGCTAAGAATATGTTAAAATCTAGGTTCAGTAAATCATATCTGAGTTCAGATTTCAAGCCCCACTAGAGAACAACAGGAGTTACCTGTAGATATCATGTTTCACACTTGCCCGGGTTTTCTGACTGGGGTTGTAATCCTCAGGTGGCATGTAGATAATTGTCCCTCCTTCTGGCAAAGAGGATTCACTTCGTGATTGCGACATGGATATGACACGCCATTTGGACATGCCAAAATCTGCAATCTGGAAAGGTCAAATCAGTTGTTCTGAGAAGAAAAACTGGATTTATCTGCTGACAGTTGTTAGAAATTCCTGAAATGTGCCCAGAAGCAGGGGTCACCCAAAGCTCCTAACCCGACACACAAAAGCTATGTGGTTCTCCTAGCAACAGGAAACATCAACTCCAGTCCATAAAGCATTCCCAGCTCATGACTCATGCTGTCCCTATAGCACTACTCTATCTGTTCTTTTAAGGAAGGACTCATGTATGCTACAGCTGAGGAATCTGCTGTAGATAGCTGTACCATATGAAGAAAATCACTTCCTTGTGTTAAAAAGAAGCAAACAAAAAATCATTAATTACTAGTAGCTCCCTGGTTATGAAGAAAGCACAAGTTCAATATGAATCATAATAGTTGCACATAACTCAGCTTGCCAATATCCAGAGGCAGCTCCTCTCACAGAAATATCTCAGGGCATTTCACCTCACTCCCAAAACTATGATGTATTAATCTTGAATTAATAAATTTGATATTCTGAAATTCTGTGCTGCAAAAAGTTGCTGAATATTTACTTTACTGTGCACTCTGGGCCTTTGCTCCTTTCCACAGGATACAGTGCCTCTACATGAAGAAGAAACTGACATCAGTTTACATCCTCAGGCATCCATGAGCCAGGGCACCTGATGTCAGATTAGGTTATGGATAAGGAAAGAAACATTTAGCAGAATGCACCTGCTGGCTGAGCTGCAGTGTCTGGCATACATGGGAGATAAGCAACCAGCTACCAGCTCTGCACTTGCCCAGCATTTGCGTAATATCAAAAACATTTTCAAAAGATGCCTGTGCAAGTGCTGTGTCAATTAAGATAACAGAAACAAGCTTTCTGAAGAGCATACATCAAAATCCACAATGAAAATTAAGCTTTCTTCTCTACAACTCATTCTCATCAAGCCTTCCTCATTGTAATTAGTCTTGATTCTTTCTCATTCAGTAGATCAGGGACAGTCAGAAGCACTCTGTCAATGGTGTTACCTCTATACATACGAAGTATCTCTTCTGTTTGGCAAGTATGAAAATCTTGTTTGCATTTCCTGTCAACAGTACTAATTTAGAGAATCTTGCTTCACTTAAAACCCTAAGGACACTCCTTACAGGAGGCTGGGCAGGTATGCAATAATTAACCTCTTCCCTTCAATAGCCTCAGCAAAGAAACTGTTCAGATATGATCAGGCAGAGCACCAGGCCACACCAAAGCTGTTAGAGATTAAAAAGAGAGTGGATAAAAAATGGCTTGGACTCGTTCCCCGATCAGGTTTATCAGGAAGCTCGAGAGCTGGCAACACCAGCACAATTGAGTGGGAGGAAGTATGACCTGCTGAGGGTGTGAGCAGAGACAAAGCCATGTGAGGCACTTTGCTGCCAAGAAAAATTTCTGTGCAACAGAAAAGGAAGAAACCAGCAGTGGATCTTTGCTCAAAGGACTCACAAAGAGACTAAATCTACAGTAACAACTGAAACATTCACTTTCTAAGTATATATTCAGTGCACAATATCTCTTATTTCCATTTACTTGAGTAACATATTCTGACAATTATAAAAACAGATCTTTTTAAAAAAACAAGAAAAAATGAACCTAACTCTTGCAATTATGGAAGCACCTAAACATTTTGCCAGAAGTACTTTCAGTGTCTTTTTTGCATCATGGCAGTGATATTTTAAAAGGCTGAATTAAAGTTTTGAACTACTGACACTTCCACATGTATATTTGCTTGTTCTAAGGAGCTTCACAAAAGCCGCCTTCCAACCAAGTAAGATTTCACAGTCTTGTTTTACATGTTCTTATACTACATCAACGGAGCAGATATGTCCATATTGCATGGTAAGTATCAAGTAGAGCATTTACATTTGAATTTGACCTACTGCCTATCAGAAATAACTTGTCAGAGCATCCTGGGCAGGAACACTTTCCATTTTCTTCTCAGAAAGGGCCAAATGTAGCTTTCTTGAAAGGCTGACAAACAAGAGTGTCACCACTATTGAGTGATATCAACTACTGCTATAGCAGAAGCAGCCCAAATTCTTTCTGGTCTTTTCAGACAGATAAAATCCACAACTGAATAATACAGAGCTTCCAAAAGAAAAACTCCCACGTTTTGTCTGCAAGGACAGAAGAAAAAATCCATAATACAATTACATCCTCTCTGCATGGCCACAACCTCAGCCTTCCTCCTCTACACAACAATGAAAACACTTTCACTCATTTTGGATACTGAGGAACAGAAGAATTAAATAACCCTACCTTGATATGAAACTCATCATCCAGCAAAATGTTTTGGGTTTTTAAGTCATGGTGCAGTAATGGAGGATTCATGTTGTGCAAATAGTTTACTCCCAAAGCAATTTCATGAAGAATGCGGAATCTCAGGCACCAGGGAATGTCAGGATATACATCTTTCTGCCAAGATAAAACCACAAAACCAGAATGTAATCCTCTATTCTGATCTAACAGCATACACAAAGACCTATTTTATAAGAAGAAGAAAGTGACTTGGGCAAGCAGTAATCTTTACAAATATACATTACACAAACTCTTTAAGACTCATTAGCTGTTAAAAGAAACATTATCAAAAAATAATAGTTAGGCAGTGCTATGTTTCCATTCCCTAGCATTCACATAGTAGTTCATGACTGCTATACATGATGTAGAAAATTTATTACATTACTCATTCATATGGAAATATGAATTACAGATGAACTTCTGCACGAAACTTGCAACCCACAATTTTTGAGTCCTACATGAAGAATGGCAGTAATCGTATCTTCAACTGACATTGGGGAGCAAAAAAACTATTGAAACTATGCACAAAACACTACCTGTATAAATAATAATACAATAACAACAAATAAAAAAAAGTAAAACTCAACTGAAATATTAAAAGTTACATTGATGCTAATGCCTTTATGAAAAACACACAGTTGAGCTCTCTAAGGCATGAGATGTATATTGGTTAAACGTGGACTTTAGTGCCATTGAGACACAACTGCAGTCGCTTTGCATTACAACACTGTTCAGGCCAAGCTAAGGGGAGCAACTGAGAGTTCAGCACAAGAGAAGTTACTCAGCGAATAAGATCTGATAGAAATATTCATACTTGTTTATATTATTAATATTTGGCTTCTATAAACTGAAGTATATTTTTTTAATTATTCAAAACTCATTAAAAAAATCAATATTTGTATTGGCAGTAGTTCAGAAACCCAGACTGAAGAAAGCATAAGTATTTCAGAATCTAATTAGAGAACAACTGAGATTTTTAAAGTGACTGTATGTAATAATTCAACATAAAGCTCCTTATAGGTCACTTTATTAAAGAAAAAAGTTTAACAAAACTTATGTCAGCTAAGTTTAGTTGTCTTTTTGAGATACAGGTCTAACTGAGCACCAAAAACTACTAGGGATAATGACTGTCTTCTAGCATGAAATATTATAAATAAAATACTTTACTAATTAATTATGGAAATTGCAATCTACTTGAAGCAGCCAGGTATCATATTTAAAGACCATAAGTACACTTACCCCATGTAATAGCTGGTTTAATGACCCATTGGCCATGTATTCTGTTACTATCCCCAGAAATTCAGGCTCGTTGCAAATTCCCAAAATTGGCAGTATGTAACTAAACCTGGCTTTGTGCAGTATCTCTGCTTCTTTTAGAAGGTGGTTTCTATCGCTTAAAGAAAACAAGCAAACAAATAAAATACATTACCATACCAGTACTAGGAAACTCAAAGCAAATGCTGGGTTCACTCTATTCTCTGTCAATTATATCCCTGTATACAATATCACCACCTTTTCACCATTTAATTTCTACCATGCTGTTTTGAGAACAAGACAGTGTAAGACAAATCAGAATCTGTAAATGCAAAGACAAGACAGCTTCCCTAGTTTTGTTGTACCACACAAATGTATTTCCTTCACACATTTCATCCATGTTTCCAGTAAATAAGGATACAGTCAGAACTTCCAGCTTCTACCATTCCTTGTAACAACCAGAATGCATTTCTCCCACTTTACTGAACACCTTCAAACCCTGAGTTTTCACCCAATATTATCTCCTAGAAAGTAGAGATTTTAATACACATGATTCTCCAACCATTTAAATTTAGTGGACTCTGATGTACACTAAAATAATAGGGGTTAAAGGAATGCACTTTTGACTTCTGAAGGAAGTTCCTTTCTGAAGGAAACTGAACAATTAATCATGCTTTGTTTTCACATAAATTGTTCCCTTAAACAACCCCTGCTTTGAATCACTCTCTGGAAAAAATATCCCCTAGACACAAAGGAAGCAGGAACAGACCAGCCTCATGATGTTTGGATGCCTGAATTTGATCTGTTACCTTGAAACTCCTCAAAAATGTAGTTTTGATGCATCTTTACAAATTGAGACCTTGCAGCTCGTGGATTTGAGAAGGTCAAGTTTTATTTAAGATTGAGTTTCATCCCTAAAAATAGAAACTATTTGGTATGTCTTATATCTCTAATAGTCTTGAAAGAAATGGGTTTGTTGTCAATGAGGATAGTTGGACCATGAAGCATAATTCAGTGAAAAAAGAATTTAGATCTTATATCAGTGGAGACTGGGACAAGTACATGACTAGGATATTCAAACACAGGACATTTACAACACATTTAAGATCCTTTGGATGTGAGCCAGTCTGACTCAGGGCTGTGCTGGGGGACAGGGCTATGCCCACCACGATTTGTTCAGCACAGCACTGTGTTATGTGCACAGCCCTCCCATCGAGCTCAGGGCACACCCCAAAGCACTCAGGGCAGTCTGGATCCATCAAGGTGGGTTTAGCACTCACAAAGAAAAGGCTGTCACGCTATATGGGAAAAAGTAGAAGCCTTGTGAACTAAAGCCTGCAGCTCCTAGCAGCAGGAAATTTTGAATTTAGATGAATATGAAATTAAGGTCCTTTTATTTTTGTGATGGAAAAAGACTTATAGGAAACTTATAGGAAACAACAGAAGTAAAAAGGCAGCCTTTGAGACAAGCATAGGATAGAAGACACAACTACACCTTCCTCCCTCTCTCCAGAAATGACTAGGTTTGAGGAATTTTGGGGTTTTCCCAGAAAGTAAGGCACATTAGCATGGGATTCAGCTGTGGTCAGGAAACAAATTGCAACATACTGAAGTCTATTCCTGTGTCTGTCAGTCACTTCACCTTTGTCTGCTCCATGCCAGAATAGCATTGAGTAATGCCTAAAGAGCACATTCCCACAACAGCTTGCCAACTGGCTTTGCTCTTTGGCTGGTCACATACCACATCCTGGGATGCACAGCACACACTTCCCACTTGGGAATTAATGGCACCATGAATCCCTTTTCATGACAGCATTTACAGGCTGGCATTTTATATTGCCTACTGTACAAACAACAAAGCACTTGCTGCTGAGATTAGAGTATAATGGATTTTTTTACCACTTTGAGTCTTCTGATAGCATTTCTGGGCTTTGCATGATATATGGTAGGTGACTGAATTATTTTGATTACCTCACTTGCCCTTTTAATCATAATTTCACAGGTTAGATGTCCCACTCCAAATTCTTGCAAGGCTAAAAATCACCTTGGTGGTTTTTCCCAGCTGTGTTGTGAGGATAAAGACTGTATTTCCAATTAGATGGGATTTAAGCAGACATTAAAAAAAAAATCCCCAAACAAACAAAAAATCCCACAACATTGGTCCGTCCCCCCCGCTCCCTTAACTTATCAGAAAACACAACATAACTGAGATTCCATTTCTGGCAAGATTTCAGAGATAAAGCCTGTATATACACAAACCTGGGCAATAAGAGGTGAAAAAGCTTAAAACATGTCTTATATTCAAGTACACTGAGTCGCGAGACTAGAAGATATTCAGAGTGAAGCTCTCCTACCTAAAGACCTAATACTAGATCAAAGAAACCTGAAGCAAAAGCCTGAAGACACCAAGATAAGACAAAGAGGCAGGTTTACAGTCAGGTAGGCTTCAGACAGCCTAAGAAGAGGCAAATTTACACCGATACATTAACAAATTGAAACTATGGGGATTGAATAAGACAGAGATGAATGAAAAAATACAACTTGCTGCCCCCCTACATGGAGTGACAACTCCTGTAATAAATATGCTGCCACTTGGATACCTGGAAAACGGGAAACCCGATTATTACACGGAAAATACCAGTTTTACAAGGGGGCCTAGAAGCCTATTATTTTAAATCAGATTCTCTCAGTACTGTGAGATCTGGGGAAAATAAGAATTTTGCGTTGTACCAGAGAAGCTTCTTCTAGAAGCAATCTCTAGTGCATAGAACACTATGTAACATATGTAACTATAGAGACATATAGAACACTATATGTCTCTATAAACACTAAATACTATAAATACTAAAATCTATAAATACTAAATCTATAGTAATCACCGCACTTTAGTATCCTGCTGATACCTCAGCAATATGGTTAGCAACCAACAGACCCAGCAAGAAGCCAAACCCTGTCAATCCCACCTTGAGGAGGGCTCCAGCTGCATGGTGCAGAAAAAACTCCAAAAGAAACAACTTAGTGTCTCACAGACCGAGACCGAAACCAACCCTTTACAATAATCCAAAGAGAGGAAGCTCCGGGGCCGGCCCGTGCTTTCTCTCGGCCCAAGCTGAATCATCCTCGTGGGACCCCCTCTCCTCGTGGAATTAAAGCAAGGCTGCCTACCGAAACACCAGGATCTGATCCACAGACCTCAGGAGCCCACGCGGGCACCGCGGCCGGCACCTGGACCGTTTCTGGGGGCTGCTTTAAGGAAAGGCGGGTTCGGCTCGGCGCTCCCCGGCCATGGCCCAGCCGCGGCCCCCGGCCCACCCCGTTACCTGTCTAGCAGCGGCCCCTGCAGGCACTTGAGGGCCACCGGGACCCTCCAGTCGGCGTGGCGGGCGGCGGACACGGTCCCGTAAGCGCCCCGGCTGATAAAACGCAAGTCCGGGAGTTTGCTGGAGGGGATGGAGGGGAGGCCGTAGCTGAGGGTGCCCGTCCGGCCCCCACCGGCATCCCCGCCGCTCATGCTCGCACTCCGCCGGGCGCAGCGCGGCCCGGAGCGCCGCTCCTCTGGCCCCACTTCCTCGCTTCCCC